TTTTCACATTTTTTTTTCATCTCAATTGTAATCCCCACGGGTTTCCCATCACCAAATCACCCCTGTGCCACCACCATAGTCCCGTGCATTTCCCTCCCGGGATAGTCATTTTTAACAAGTGGTACTGAAACAAATGTATTGCCATAAGCAAAACAAGTCTTACTTCATACCCTGTACACAAATCAATTCAAAATGGATTACAGATCAGTTTATAAGAGCTACATCTGTAAAACTTCTGAAAAAATACAGAAAATTTCATAAGAAACTAAAGTATAAATTGATAAACTAGACTTCCTCAAGATTTAAAAGCCCTATTCTTTGAAAGCAGTAAAGAAAATGAAAAGACAAGTCATGAGCTGGAATATAGTATTTGCAAAACATACTATCTGATAAAGGACTTGTATCCAAAATTTATCAAGTACTAAAAACTAATTGAGGAAACAACCCAATTTTTAAATGGGCAAAAGATGAGCTACAGATGGCAAATATGCATATGAAAAGATGTTCACTATATTAGTCATTAGAGAAATGCAAATTAAAACATAATGAAATACACTTATTCAAAAAGCAAAAAATAAATTTAAAAAACAGTCAATACTAAGTGTTGGGAAGGATTCAGAATAGCTGAAACTTTTCATACAATGCACATGAACAGATAAACAAATCATAGTACATATAAACACTAAATGGATGAATCTCAAAAGTGTTACATTAAATGAAATAAACCAAACACAAAAGTGCGATTTCATTTATATATAAGACTTTGTAGAAAACATAAAACTACAGGAATAGAAATAAAATTGTTATTTGCCAGGGACATAGGGGAGGGAATTAAATAAAAAAGGATGATAAAACAATATTTAGAGATAAGGAAATGATATATCTTGATTTTAGTGGTGGGTACGATTGTATCTGTGTAGGCTCATAGAACTACATGTCTGGAAATTACTGTATGAAAAACACACAGAACTTTACCAGGAGACTTGCTAAAAATCAAGGATAAAAAAAAAACCAAAAAGGCACCAAAAAGAAAACTCAATAGCCACCTACTGAAAAAGAAAATTAAAAATTCTACTGCAGCATATGCCAGAAGATAACGGAATACTATCTTCAGAGCATTTGCCAAGAGCAAGTAAATTAAAGGAAGAGAAGGAAGGAAAGAATGAAAAGAGGAAATCAGTTCAAGAATGTTTTAACTGGGCCCTCCTGGTGGTGCAACGGGTTATAGCACAGCACTATGAAGCCATCTGCAGCCACTGCAGCATGAGTTTGACTCCCAGCCAGGGAGCTGATCCACATGGAGTGGCAGACCTCTCCTATCTCGCCTGCTGTTACCCTCAGCAGTATACTTCAGTTTATCTGCCTGTTTTTCTCTCCACTCTGTCTCTGGTAAACCCACTCAACCCTGCACCTGTGGCTTGTATCCCTGTTCTTATATGCATAAATAAATAAATCTTAAAAAAAAAATTTGTGACTACTTAACTGTTAAGGCGCAATAATTAGCAAAGCAAAAAAATTTCTAGATATACAAAGTATATCAATCACAGACCTTCATTAAGAGAACAAAAAGATATATTTCAGAAAGAAAAGCAAATCCAAATGGAAATATGGGCTACTAAAAAAATAAAAAAGATGTGGAGAAATATAAAATAGAATTATATTTTGATGAATTAAGTACTGATTCCTGATACATATATTGAATACTGAAATAACTGAATAAGGACACTAATTTCTTATTTTGTAAAAGGTTAAGTAAGCTAAGGAACAACAGCAGAATTGGTTAAAGTATTAAGTACGTAGAACAAGTGTGCTGAAGTTAGCGTCGTGTTAGGGAGGATAGAAATACTATGTGGCAGGCAGAATTCTACATGGCTCTTGATGGTTAATTCCTTCCCCATAAGTGGGAGAAAGATGTGCCTGTAAATATGATGGGATAGCACTCCCCATGAATCAGTAGTACCTGATTCTGTGTTAATCAATAGGAAGAGTATCAATAGGAAATCAGTAAGAAAGGGAGACTTAACATCACCTTTAATCTAGACCAGGGAAACAGAGATTAACTCTCAGACAAATAATCTGGTAGATAAAATTCCTATTCCATTCAAATCCACATTGTGAATATTTGTTTACAGCCACTGTGGAAATCAGAATGTAACAAAACTCCCATGTATGATCCTACAATTTCATTTCAGGTATTTATCCAAAAGAAGTGAACACACTAACTTAAAAAAAGATCTTCATCCTTATGTTAATTTCAGCATTATTTATAATAGCCAAGTATGGAAGCAAGCTAAGTCTCTACTGATGAAGAAGAAAAATGTGATTATGACTACATACATATACATGAATATTAATCAGCCATAAAAAAGAAGGAAAATTTCCCACTTGTGTGATAACCTATATGGGCCTTCAAGGCATCATACTAACTGAAATAAATCAGACATAGCAAGGCAAATACCATAGTATTTTATTTTTATGTATCACCTAAAAAGACAAAAAATGCATCAAACCAAACTTGTACAAAATAGAGAACAAACTGGTGATTGCCAGGAGACAGGAGCTGTAGGGAATGGGTAAAGTTAGTGAAAGTGGTCAAAATGTATAAACCTCCAGTTATAAAATAATTAATTAGTGAGGATATATGCACAACATGCTAAATATAGTTGACAATACTGTTTGAAAGATGCCAAAAGAATAGATCTTAAAAGGTCTCACCACAAGGAAAAATACTTTATATCTTGCATTTGAACTTACTTTCCATGTTATTACAGTCTGTTCACAGATAATACTTTTTTTTTAAAGATTTATTTATTTATGCATACAGAACTGGGGTATAGGCCAGAGGTGCAGGAGTGGTGAGAGGATTCACCAGAGACAGAGTGGGGAGCAGAACAGGCCGACTGATGAAGTACACTGCTGAGGGGAGCAGCAGGCAGGTTAGGAGAGGTCTGCCACGCCATGTGGATCACCTCCAGGGCAGGCGGGGATGGGACTCATGCTGAAGTGGCTTTAGCTTCTTACTGCTGTGCTTTAATCCACTGAGCCATCAAGGAGGGCCCCACAGATAATATTTTTAATGGCTAAAAAGTATTCTCTAAGACACATACATCTAATAAGTATAGCAAAGTCAAAATTTTCACCTATAGCCAGTTGAAGGCATATATGGCAGGCTGCCTCTAAATTTTTCTAAGTTTAAATAATGCTTTAATAAGGCCTCCCTGGTGGTGCAGGGGTTAAAGACATAGTGGTATCAAGCTATCCAGCCATTAGACGTGAGTTTAATCCCCAGCCAGGGAGCTGACCCACAAGGCACAGACATCTCCTGTTTCACCCACTGCTCTCCTCAGCAGTATATTTCAGTACATCCACTGTTCTATTCCCACACTGTTTCTGGTGAATCCGCTCATCCCTCCTAATCCCAGTTCTTATATGTATAAATAACATTTTTGAAAAGTAATGCTGCAATAAATACTTTCACATACAAAGTACATTATATATTTTGGGTAATTTCTCTAGCATAGAGTCCCACAAGGGAAATCACCACACTCAGACAGTATGACTAAATTATGGTTTTAATTTATTTATGAAATATCAAATAATACAAGAAAATAATTTCAGTACCCTGATCACTCTAAGCCAACCTTTTCCAAGTCTTATTGCTCAGAGACAAGTTCTTACTCATTTAGGGTCTAATACTTACAGTGCTCTTTCCCTATTTTATCAATTATAGATATGGTCCTATTTTCTGTTTGGTAAATGAGAATTTAGCCCAATTAGACCTTTTCTTACCGCTTTTGTTAAATAAAAAGATTAATTTTGTAATGCCAAATAATACACTCAAATATATTTCTTTCTCTCTTTACTTTTAATTTTGTGTCTTCACATTAGCATCCTGTGTTTTCTCTAACTTCAGGTAACTATGAATTTACTTTCACATTGTTACATTTAATAATATTTACAGGTTATCTTGAAACCAAATAAAGTTGTTTATTAGTGGTTTCTGAAACTTGGGGGAAAAAGAAGAGTGTTTATTTTACATATATTTATATATATTGCTATCTGAATAAACTAGTAATAAATTATGATTATACTTCCTCCTACTGGATATATCATGACAATGAATGGATTCTTTACAATTCAATTCCAACATCTGTAAATGATAGCCACACCAGGTCAAATACTAAAATTTTTAATTTCTTCTTTTCATGGCAAATTCTAACTTATAACTAACCAAGTCCCTATGTCAGGCTTCTAAATATAAGACTATCATTTTGCATCTGAGTCCAAAATGTTTTTATGATCTTAAAGGGTACTAAGTCATAAAGCATTCCCACCTGCCAGAGCATCTCGATAAAGCTGCACAAAATGATTAAAGACATCCTTTGGCAAACACTTTTCATCTGGCAGACACTGCAGAAGAATGACTATTTCAGACTGACCAGCTGCGTGCATTCCCTTGGTTGTAAAACACCAGCACTTTCTGTTCACATCTGTAGACAGAAATACAAAAATATTCCCCTCAATTCTTACCCTTAAAAAAAAGCCATCAATCTATAAAATAAGACAAAAAATACAAGAGGTCAAACTGAGCCTGTATAATTCAACTGCCAAGTGTCACTGAACTGAGCCAAAAACATGCAAAAAAACAAGTGGAAGGGAAGTAAAGAAGTAACAGTGAGAGAAAATGCATTTAAAACTTTTAACTCCTGTTATTAAATGGTGTAATTATTAAAAGAAATTAACAGCCCATTAAAAATAAAATCAAACAACATATTCTAGGTTATAATGACTAAAGGACATAGTTTATCACCTTTAATTTTAAAAATCACTTCACCAAGGAAAAAAATTACTTATGTAATACAAGGAAAAAGTAGTAAAAGCTAGTATGATTGCTTTGGATTCAGGTTGTGTATTTTTTTGTATACCATATGTTTATGTACACCATTAATCTAGGACTGAGAGATTCTAGCTATTTTAATTATAGCCCATTCTGAGAGAAAATTCCAGATTGTGAGCAATATGACTTCACTTGGTTTCATGCTATAAATAGTTGTAAAAGGATGGTTTTCTGTTACTTCCTTTTCACTTTAAAGCTATATAAAATTCTAATAACACAGCCATATGTAATTAAAAACTAATGTTCGATCCTTGGCACTTAACATTTATATCCCACAAACACAAAGGGATCTGCAAAGAAAGGGGGGAAAAGAGCTCAAGTAATACTCTGGATATCATAATGCAAATCAAAACTGATAAAAGATCCTTTTCTTTCAATTTGGGGGTTGTTACTTGAAATTCCTTCAACAGTAGCCACGCAATCCAACTATGTTAAAATGGTGTATGTATCTATCAGGAAGTCTAGATTAGCTATTATCTATATGAAACTTAAAAGATATAGTAAATTGACATTTTAAGCAAATTATTTTAAAAACTGACCCCAGGAGAAAGGGAGGCAATCATTAATAACAAGCCAAACACACAAGGGTGCAACTAGAAACAACAACCACCACCACACAGAAACCCACATTCCATCAATATAGGACCTCTGAGGAAATGATAGAGTATTTCTGGTTCCCAATTAAAAGCAAGTATATGGTGGGACCTGGAGGACTACTCCTCAGTGTTGCCTTTCTCTTGTTCAAACTGTCCATTAATGTTTGCCCAGGATAATGCATTCTCTATCTTATAATACCAACCTAGAATCAAGATTCTAAGTTATTGTTCTTTCTCATTTTGATGCCCAAGAGCCTGCACCAAAAATAAGTTTTCCTGAATCTTAATTTATATCATACTTAAGTTTTACTATGTGAATTTAATAGCAGTTCTCCCAAACAAGGTTTACACATGATTTAGGCTTCTGACATTTAACCTAGTATGTAAATTAATTGACCCTCCTGAATAGTTTATCTACCATCAATTATTCTGGGGTAAGTTGTGACTTAACACACTCATCTCAGTAAAAAGTTAGGTCAGTTCAAGTTTTGTTTGGTTCTCTTCCAAAGAGAGTACCTCTATCTCATCCCTCTGATTAAAGCAAGTTTCCCCAAAGTGTTCTCAGGACATATTGATTAAAAAACAACAACAACAACAACAAACAAACAAAAAAACACTTCCTCAGCCCTAAGTTTCTAGTAAGATATCACATTATATAAATATGTAGGCCCTCCCTGGTGGCGCAGCGGGTTAAAGCACTGCACTGAGAAGCTAAAGCCACTTCTGCATGAGTTTGATTCCTGCCTGCCCCGGAGGTGCCCACATGGTGTGGCAGACCTCTCCTGACCCTCCCGCTGCTCCCCTCAGCAGTGTACTTCGTCGATTTGCCTGTTCTGTTCCCCACTCTGTCTCTGGTGAAGCCTCTCACCGCCACTGAGCCTCTGGCCTGTACCCCAGTTCTGTATGAATAAATAAATAAATCTTTAAAAAAAAAAAAAAAAACTTTGTGTAGTGAACCTGAAAGCTCTAGCACCTATGAGTAATCTGATTATGTAAAAAAAAGTAAAGTTCTAACTTACAATTTACAATTTTAACCATTGACAACAAATTTGCATTTAAAACAAATACAAGTGGGTCAGGGCCACCATCCTCCAGTTGCTGCATCACTGAAATCTGTGATGGTTTTTCTTCCACAGCATAGTCTGTAAGGGGGAAAAAAAAAACAATGTTAAGAGATTGGTGAAAGGCACAAAATCTGATGGACAAATCTGATGGAGGGATGTGCATATAATTCACAGGAAAGAAATAAGTATGTAGCTGATTCACAGATAGGGTGAACGACATAGGTTTGTACTTGCTTTCCCAGTGTCATGTTAATAATGCCCCCCTCATTAAGTGACCTGATCCAGAGCAGTAACATGGCTACCCTAGATTTATACACTGGTGTCTCCAACTCTGAAGTTCAGTTGCTTCCCAACATTCCACAGCAAAAGAATGAAAAGTATGAAAAGTGAATAATCAGAAAATAACAAGTAATTTATTGTATATAGGTAGAGTACTGGAGTATTAGCTGGACAACACTTAAGAAAAACTGCAGGCAGTTCCTAGTGAACACTGTAAACTAAGACAAGTAATTTATACTGAAGGCATTGGGACTCCACTGAATGTTTCTAAGAAAACACAACTTATAATATCTGTTTAAAAAGATAACTGATGGAGTAGGAAAGAATTATACTCAGTGAAATAAGTCAAAAAGAAAAAGAAAAATATTGGATGGCTTCACTTATAGGAGGACTGTAAGGGAACCAAATAAGGCATCGGGGAAAAAATAGTAACAATAAAAAATATACAAAAACAAACCAAAATAAACAGATAACTAGAAACCAGAGACATTCTGCAAGGGAGGGAGAGGAATCGAAACAAGGGAAGGGAAGAGTTAAGGGAACTGTGGTGACAGTGCACAGGTGAATTGGGGGTGGAAATTCTATAGGGGCTACTCCTAGGAAAGAAAGCAAACATTGTTAAAAAAAAAAAAAAAAAAGAATGATGTAATATACATATAAATTTAAAAAGATAACTGGCAACAATGTGGAAGATAAAACACAAGGAGAGAAAGATAGAAGAAAGGAAGATAGGCAAAAGACTAGAACAGGAAAGATATTATTGATAAATCATTTACCGAAAACATACTGACTGGATGCTGATCCAGATATATCAACAACAAACTTTCACATCAAATTAAGCATTCTTTTTTATAAAAAATATATTTATTTATGCATCCCACTGGTGCAGGGGGGAGGTGAGAGGATTCACCAGAGATAGAGTGAGGAGCAGAACAGATGCATCAACTGAAATACACTGCTGAGGGGAGCAGCTGGTGGGACAGAAAGGTCTGCTGTGCCATGTGAGTAAGGCTCCTGGCCAGGGATTGAACTTGTGCTGCAGTGGTTATGTGCAAATAGCTTCCTAGTGCTGTAGCTTAACCTGCTGCACCACCAGGAAAGCCCTCAAGTTAAGCATTCTTATGATTAGATATTAAGTTTACTTTTTATCAGGATTCTCTAAAAATATTTTTAATATAAAATTTCCATTAAGTTCAGTGCTCTCCACTTCATTGCATATTTCCGAGTGTGTATTACATTTCAAAGCAACAACAAAAAAATCAACATGCTGACTTTATCATATAGATCAAGCCTACAACATACGCAATTCTTCAAAGTATTATGTACTTGCTTTGAAAAAAAAGGAAATTGCTTATGAATCACTCATAAATGAAAATGTTACCACTTTCTAACAAATGAAATGATGTTGTAATATAAAAACACAAACATCTACTCTAAAATAATCACTACCAGCAACAAGTGTTTTCAGGGCACTGACTTTTCTTTGGGAGAAGAAAAGGGTGGTTACTACTTAACATTTCAGATCCTTTCATTAATTAGAAGGGAATATCTGACATCTATAACTATGCTTGTTTAACTACATGAATTCAGCACCTCCTTGATGGTGCAAGGATTAAAGTCTCAGTACTATCAAGCCTATAATCAGCCACTGTGTCAGGAGTTTGATCCCCAGTCAGGGAGCTGACCCACATGGGGTGGCAGACCCCTCCTGACCCACCTGCTGCTCCCCTCAGCAGTGTAATTCAGTAGATTTGCTTGTTCTGCTCCCCACTCTTTCTCTGGTGAATCCTCTCACTCCCCACCTCCGCACCTCTGGCCTATATACTAGCTCTTGTATGCATAAATTTTTAAAAAAGCTTTAAAAAACAAATACATATATGAGTCCACATACCTCCTTTTACACCAGTGGAGATGAGAATGGGAGGAAGACCATCTTCAGGAATAAGATTCATTGCACTTCCAACAGGACTTCCAACCTGAGTTATACTCCCAGAAAATAAAGAAATATCCACCTATAAAAAGTAAATCAACAAAGTAAACAGTTTGAGAGCTCAAGACTGAGGCATAATAGAGTAAAAAATATAAGTGAAATTTAAGTGAAACCTGCAATTCATAGTTTTTCAAAGATAGCACAAGATATTCAACCCATTAACCTGAGTTTTCTCAAAGGACTGAGCTTATATTATGAATATGTCTCTGACTGTATCTCCATTTGGCATCATCAAATCATACTCCCTCCTCCCCCATGTAATCACCACTAAAGATACAGAACATTTCCATTGCTCTAAAACATTTCTTCACGAACTTTTCCTGTTAAAGACTTGTCCCTCTTTCTCCAAGGTAACTGCTATTTTCACTTGTATTGCCACTAATTAGTTTTGTCTGCTCTTAATGAAAATACATAGTATATAATATTTTAGCTTCATAAATTTAACCTAGTATTTATGAGATTTATCCATGGTGTGAGCATCAAAATTTATTACTGAGGTTGTTCCCCAAAGATGAAAGCTTCTTAAACACTTTTATACTTGAATAATGATTAAAATATTTTTTAAAACATGTTCATTTCTTGCCATGGTTTTGTCTGTACTATCTGTAATTCAGGACTTGAGTTTTTACTAAAATTCAGCAGTGTTTCTAATACATCATTCCAATAGAGTAAACCACTCTTTACTGATTTTTAGGCCTAGTACAGGAAACAATCAATTTAATGTGCTACTTAGTGACACCTAATTTCACCATTACAATCATTTTAAGAGTGATCATCTGACCTCTACTTAGATAGCATATATGAAAATAAATGTATTAAGTGTGAAGCTCTCTACTTGGTCATAAAGATGCAACAAATACATTCTACTCTGGTCTTAAAGAATCCCTCCCGCCCCCATCTTATCAAATAAATTTTAAAATATAGTGTTGAACAATGTGAAAAGACAGAAATAAAATTACTAACTTGGTTCAGTTTCTCTTAAACTGAGCTAAGCTTTGTTTCCTTGTAACAGACTCACTCACTAGAGATTCCTCATCATTCACAAATAACTGTTATAAGAAGTTACCCTAAAACCCAGGAGTTATAAAAATATTTAACAGAAAATTTAAAATACTAAAGTTATAACTGACTTAGGCAAGAATTGTCAAAGGACAGTAAAGTCACTGGCTGAAAGACTGCTGGGGAACAGGACACTCAGTCTCAAGTACCATCCTTCACATTATATATAATTGCAATGAAAAAACAGCTGCTTTTGCAGTAGAGAAACACAGACAATATCAACTTAATTATCACACTGACACTTCTTGTTGCTTGCCACTTAAAATATGACCATCACGCAATACTATGATTCTTTATGTATTATTATTGTTATTATTGTCAGTCAGTTTCTCAGGAAGCTAATCATGAGAAACATAAATTAAGAACATTACAGAAAACATGGCAGATATGCTTCAAAAGTGTTAAGATTACAAAAAGAAAAAAAATTTTTTTAAAGATTTATTTATTTATGGATACAAAACTGGAGTACAGGCCAGAGGTGCAGGGACGGTGAGAGGATTCACCACACACAGAGCGGGGGACAGAACAGGCATAGAGAGATGAAGTACACTATGAGAGGAGCAGCGGGAGGTCAGGAGAGGTCTGCCGAGCCATGTGGTCACCTCCAGGGCAGGCGGGATTGAACTCATGATGAAGTGGCTTTAGCTTCTTAGTGCAATGCTTTAACCCACTGTGCCACCAGGGAGGGCCCAAAAAAGAAAATTTCTTAAGAAAATCAAAGCAATATGACATTTAAATGTAACTCTGATCCTTGATGGGATCTTGATTTTTTAAAAATTTATTTCATTTAGTAGAAAAATTATATGTATTTATAAGTATATAAATGAAAGTTACAAAAAATTATTGGTAAGGGCCCTCCCTGGTGGAGCAATTATTGATATAGCTTATATGTTAGATGATAGATTATGTTAAATTTCTTCCTTATATGAACTATATTGTATGTAAGTAAGTATTAGGAGACATAACGGAAGTATTTGGTGAAGTCCAACTAACCTTCAAAGCATTCATTAAAAATAAAGTGGGGCCCTCCCTGATGGTAAAGCAGGTTAAAGCACAGCACTAAGAAGCTAAAGCCACTTCACCATGAGTTTGATCACTGCCTGCCTCGGAGATCGTGATCCACAAGGCGCGGCAGACGTCTCTTGACCCGACCGCTGCTCCCCTCAACAGTGTACTTCGTCGATCTGTCTATTCTGCTCCCCAGTCTGTCTCGGGTGAAGCCTCTCACCGCCCCCGCACCTCTGGCCTGTACCCCAGTTCTGTGTACATAAGTAAACAAATCTTTAAAAATAAATATATAAATAAAGTGGATATGCTCACATTAATGCAGGTTTGTGCAGGGATAAAATAAATGTGGCAAATGGCAACAATTGATGAATTTAGGTCAAAAGTATATGGGTATACATTCAACTTTTGTGTGGATTTGACATTTTTCCAAATAAACCTATGAGGGCTGCAAAGGAGAGAAGAAATTTCTTTGCAATATAATTGTGCAGATATAAATATTTAGTTCTGATTTTGCCCTCTGCAGTCAGAAAGATGGCTCCAAAAATAGATTTAGACATATATGAAGAAAGATATAAAGGTTTAATGTTCCTTCACCAAAAAGGAAATTTAGTTTGGTGTTTCAATTGATCTTATAAACATGCAATTTTTATTATAACTAAATCCACTAAAATTATGTAAATAATTTAAATCCATAAAAAATGTAAATTTCTCTAAAAAAATACTGAACATGAATACTAACTACAACAGCTCTATAAATTCAAGAGTAAAAAATTGATCCAGACTTTGATTATATTTTTGTAAAAGTGTGAAACACAAAGTATTGGGGGGTGGGGGCTCCTTGGTGGCACAAGGGGTTAAGCCACAGCACTATAAATCTATCTACAGCCACTGCACCATGAGTTCGATCCCCAGCCAGGGACCTGACCCACATGATGCAGCATACCTCTCCTGTTTCAATCACTTCTCCCCTCAGCAGTATATTTCACTCTATCTGCCTGTTCTGTTCCCCATTCTGCCTCTGGTGAATCCTCTCACCCCCATATCTCTGGCCTGTACCCTAGTTCTTGTATGCATAAACTTTTTTTTAAAAAAGCATTGGTAAGAATATGGAGCAAAAAGGAACCTTTGCATACTGTTGGTGGGAAGTCTACAACCTACAGAAACAGTATGGAGATTTCTCCAAAGATTAAAAATGGGGCCCTCCCTGGTGGCACAATGGGTGAAAGCACAGCACTATGAAGCTATCTGCAGCTGCTTCAGTGCGAGTTTGATCCCTACCCTGGAGGACCCACATGGCGTGGCAGACCTCTTCTGACCCGCCTGCTGCTCCCCTCAGCGGTGTACTTCGTCAGTCAGCCTGTTCTGCTCCCTACTCTGTCTCTCGTGAATTCTCGCATCTCCCTTGAACCTCTGGCCTGTACCCCAGTTCTGTATGTATAAATAAGTCTTAAAAAAAAAAAGATTAAAAATGGATCTGCATATGATCCAGCAATTCCACTCCTAGGTATCTAACCAAAGAATGCAAACACACTGATTTGCACTCCTATGTTCACTGCAGCACTATTTACAATAGCCTAATTATGGAAAAAACCTATGTTCCCAAGGACAGATGAGAGAATTAAAAAGATGGGTATATATACACAATACTCCTTAGACACTAAAAAAACACTTAAATTCTTGCCATTTGCAACAACAAGGAAACTGAGGGAATAATGTGAAGTGAAATGGCCAAAAAGAGAATAGTATCAATGGTTTCACTTATTATATGTGGAATATAGAGAAACAAAAGGTCAGACAAAAACAAGCCAATAATAAACCTTAGCAATCTGACTGGAAAACTACAAGATGGGAGGAGGAGAAATAAAGTGGGGAGGGGGCACAATGGACTATGGTAAAGGGCTGTGGGTGCCTTTGGGGTGGGAGTGGTGTGGTGCCATGCATCAGAAGAGGTGTGACCCTTTGTCTCTGAATCATATTCAGAGTTAACCAGTGTTACCCTCCCCAAAAATATATATAAATTTAAAAAAGGACAATCACATCTGATTGAAGCTAATGAAAAAAAATATTTTTTAAAGGTGGAAATATATATTTAGTTGGGAGTAATGTATGACCTTATTATAACCTTGACCACCAAATCTGAGGAGTCAATCAGCACTAGAAAGGAAACCAAATGCATAAAAATATCCTGTGTGCATACTTTCTAATTTTGGTCCTAGGTCACTCTGTTCTCTCACTGACTCCAAAATAAGTAAGTTGGTATTTGTGCCCTTCTAAAAATTAGGCCTCAAGGAAAGAGAATCCTATTGGTCCTAAAAGTGACCAGTATATCTTACAGAGACAAGATAAAAGTGACATCACAGTATGAGCTAATTCCCTTAGGTAAATATATAAGTCTTCAACCAAGTCAAACGGTTTTCAACTTATTTTTAGGCTTTAGGGTCCTTTTTAAAAAATCTTAAATGGAAACACAAAAGGAAAACAGAAAAAAATGGAGATACCTGAGCTGAAAAGAAAGGAACAGATTCCTCAGCCACTTACACATTGCCTGGCTCTTCCTCACCACAGCTCCCAAGAGGCCACCATAGAACCTGAGGTACATGGTTTGAAACCAATATATCAGGGGCCAGGACCTACTCTAACATGACCTCTGGCAATGTTAGGGGGACTGGATGCTCTCAACAAACTTCACACAGGTTTTGGGAACTCCACCCCCACTCCAGACCAAAGCCATCAAGACATGAGAAACTACAAATGCCATCATCACCAAAGGGAGGATGTTGGGACCTACAGGTAGACTTAGGCACCAGACTGGTATAAAACCAGACATGTGAGCTTTGGGGGTCTCTTGTCATTTGTACCTTGGGCTCTTGGCTTTTTGCCAGCTCTCAGCATACCATTAGGGTTCCAGGTCAGTGGAACTGGTAGGACACATTCACCAACTTCTCTCCCTCTCTTTCTCGCAGTTATTCAGTACTTCATTTCCCCTTCTTTTGTAAATAAACCCTTTATTAACCTTTTTGTGTGTGCCTGTAGTTGAGTCTTATTATAAGTCCCTTTAAGTGCACAGGTAAGTACCCCCAATCAGACAACACATTTCATATCAGGATTGCCCTGTAACAGCAACAGCAGAAACCTGTGTTCACCTGAGAACAATCTTCTTAAGAATATTTCTCCTAAAAACATCCAAGTGCAGAGCAAACGAGAACAGCTGATTTTCCCACATTTACTTTTCCCATATAGATATACGTACATACAACAGATGCACTAAACCATATCCAAAGCCTATACAGTTCCACAGATCATTAGACTTAGAAAAAGGCAAGACAGAGGAATCACAATGCTGTGTGAAGTAGGTATGCACTTTTAGTCATGATTTTGTTTTCTTACCTCTGCTGGTAAAGGACTGGTAGTTGCTGGTTTGACTGGGTCATGTGACACAGCCAGGGTTCCTGCAGAGGAAGTCCCATTTGTTGTTAATTTGGCTGCATCAGCAACTTCTCCATTAGGCAAAATCCCATCAGCAAACCAAACTCTCCTCTGCTCTTTGGGTTGAGCCACTTGAGAAGCCAGAAAAATAAAACAGACATCAATGTGTCATTGGTAGGGTTTCTGCTATCAAAGAAGAGATGGTCACCAATTCCAGATGTACAAAGAAATCACTGTTTAGCATCTTACAACTATAATAGCATAGAAGTGGTTATAAATCAATTAAAGTACACTTTTAAATATATCCTCTGCTACCATAACTCTTATGGAAAGATTTAAAACACTTTTTAAATTGAGGACTCAAAAATACTTCTGATAATGTCATATACTCTGTTCCACTTCACTGACAGAAAACTAAGGAAGCTGTTTCAAGTGCCTAGGAAATAAAAAGCGGGTGAAAAATACCTAGCAAAAGACATCCGCATGTGAGGTTTCCTCAGGAGTTAAGTATCTGGAAAAGTGATATGGCAGATACAGTATTTTTAAAGGGCAAGAAACCCTGAAGAATGTTAAGAATTATTAACTAATAAAGGAAGAGTTAGCACAGATATGTAAGAACTGGGTAGCAAAGTGACCAGATCTTTGATTAAAGTGTAACTGAAGAAGAAAAAGACTGATTTGGTAGTGCAAAAGTAGTTTGTATTTTAGTAAAAGGACAAGGGAAAAGTTAGAAAATTGAGTCTGATGAAATGACCTCTTTAAATCCAGTTTTGGATATCCACTTAACCAACCAAAACAAAGAGACTAGGGAAGAACAACAAAAACAACTAAAGTAAAGAGAATTAAGATTTCTTAAGAAAGTAAGTCTGAATTCATAAATACAAGGAGTATGATTAAGGAACGATCTGAAAAGAGAGAGTACAGGGGGGGAGATATAACAATATCAATAGAAATCTTTGATCTTCAAAAGGGGAGGAGGGCTACTTAGCAAGGGAAGGGGACTATTACTAGTCAAAGATATAAAATCAATGAAGGAAGACTGATTTTAATTACAAGATCATCTTAAGGAAACACAATAATTATTATTCTACTATTCATAACACCATGAAATTACAAGGTACCTTTCATTTGACAATATCATAATCATAAAGGTATGGTAAACTAAAACAAGTTGAACCTATAATTTTCTACCTATGATATGATATAATCAGAATAGTAGTTCTGCATTTTATAAAGGTCCATGTACCTAATGCATTATTTTCATAGACTAAAAATGAAAAGAGAAAACAGCAACATATATTCTAAAAAGCAATACTAGAATGGGCTGTTCAGAAGGAAGGAACATGGGCTGTTCATGTTCACCACTTACTAAACTCCTACAAAGAACATTAAGATAGCCATGAAGCTAGGATTTTACAGGCAGACTTCAAATTCTATCTCTCTTCAAATACAAGCGTGTAAATACTCCATCCATAAGTTGAAGAGGGGACTGGCATATTTTTAGAAGTGCCTCCAAAATATCAGGCAACACAATATTATTCTTTACTTGCCCAGAATAGTCTTGACACATTTCTCACCTTGTTCTTCCACTTTAATAACCATCCAAAGGTACTTATCTGCAGTGTTTTAAAGACGTGTGCTGTATAATCACATCAGCACCTTTTCAGAAGAAGTTGAAGAAAAAGAGAGAGAATAGCACATGATCCCCTACCTTCTGCTCCAGGGTGCTTTAAAACTCCCACAGGTACCATCACAGTGGGAGGTGGAGAGCTCAGGGCTCCTGAAGCCTGAGCTTGCTGCAAGGGAGGGATAGTAGAACAGTATTCAGCAGGATTGTTAGGGTTAGGGCTCTGGCTTGAGGCACTCATCATGTTCTCCCAGGCTTGAGCTAAAGCAAATACAGACACAATCAATGTGAATGGATTGCAAAAAATGGACATCAGACCTCCATAATATTGGGTAAATAATGTAGCTTCTCCTCATTAACATTTATAGTATGCCTCTTTTCCAGCTAGTGAAAGTATCAAGGAGATAGATGGTTTTATTCAATAAAGGAGACCATTTAGTTAAGCAAAAGACTTGGAAGTAGCAAGTAAGAAATACACAATACTTCCAATACAGTCTAACAGCAAATTTGCCTAAGGTTAATGACTAGGACCCTGGTTTCTTTTTTTTTTTTTAAGATTGATTTATTTATGCATACAGAACTGGGGTACAAGCCAGAGGTGCAGGGGTGGTGAGAGGCTTCACCAGAGACAGAATAGGGAGCAGAACAGGCAGACCAATGAAGTACACTGCTGAAGGGAGCAGCAGGCGGACAAGGAGCAGTCTGCCACACCATGTGGACCACCTCCGGGGCCAGGGACCAAACTTGCACTGAAGTGGCTGCAGCCAGCTTACAGTGCTGCGTCCTAACCTGATGCGCCATCAGGGAGGGCCAAGGCCTTGGTTTCTTTAAAGGAGACCATACATTCCCTTTAAAGGGAGTGAAACATAAAACTTATTAAGGAATTAGAAATGGGGTAGTATTTAGACATTGGTGGGCAGGCAGGTTTCATATTAAACCTGCATTTTATAAAACTTGATCAAAAATCAAAATCAGGAAGTCAAATAGGATAACTTTATTGTATAATATTTTTGCTTTATTTCTAGATTTTTAGGCTCTTCTTAGTTGAGGTCAAATCTTAACCTGAAATTCTGAGGCCTAAAGTTCAGGAGACTAAATCTCCACATTTTTGTGAATTCTGCTTTTGTGTTATCATCAGCCTGCAAAAACAACCATTTCACATGTTTGGTGTGTCTCAAAAAGCACAGGACCCATTTGAACATGAAAATGTATCAATATCATATAAGTGCCATTGATCAGTATGAATGATCACAAGTGTGTTAAGATTCTTTTTATGCTATAACATTACTAAGTCTGGGCATATTACCTATAGTATTTAAAGTAAATATGATGAAAGGTGCTACAGCAAATTTGATCTTCTAGGTTCAGATAATATCACACGCGCAGGAATAGAAACCATCCAATTTCTTGAGCATCTTTTTAAAAATCTCACTCAGCATGAAAGAAATGATCTGTAAGATTTTGAATACTCGTCTCCATACTACAGAACAAGGTTAGAAACAACGGCTATGTTCTTCTGAAAGCACTGGCAGAAGAAAGGAGGAAGAGAAAAGGAAAAAAGGATAGGGAACACTGAAAAGCATCAAATTAAATATTCAGTAAAAGACTGGGCTAAGCCATGCAAGAGGAAAGACGCTGGAAAAACCAGGGGGTAAGAGGATTATTTTAGGATCCCTTGTTAAGGGCATCCTTAGTTTAATAGAAAGTATTCATATGAGTCCTCTGCCATTTCCTTCATCTTTAGTTATGCCAAGTTTTTTTTAAAAAGCTATCAAGTTGGAAGACTTCATCAAATAAAAGAGTCACTGGGCACTGTAATTAAGCAGCATGCTCTTATCTGTGAATATAGGTCCAAAAAAGAAAGCAGGAAAAAAAATCAATTGAGCAACTGAGTGAAATAACCATCATCTAAAAAATGACCCTTAAGAGCAGAATGAGTCATATTTGATCAAAATTATAAGAATTCAGAAATGGGAGGAAATTAAGTGGATCATAGGAGATTAGAACAGATCAGATTAACTGACATGCAATAGGTTAATAAGCCAGCAACAGGAAAACATCACTATGAGCAATGCAGACAGACAGAGCAGGAGGGGCCTCGAGCAGAGTTCTAGCCTCCAGGAGGTACAGTATCCTGGAACAGGCAGCAGTGCTGTCCAAGTTTAACCTTATGTCTACCAGTAATCTTACAAAAGATGCATCCAAAGAGCAAGTACAATAGCACGATCAACCTCATTGTATCTCTCTACAAGAATATGGTTTAAACTAAATTACCCTTACATTAATTCCCAGCCCCACAGAAGATGAACAGTGAATAAGTTGTATTTGCCTTCTCCTGGCCATATTCTTTTACCACATCATTAAATTAAAAAAAATCATTATTCTCTTAACAAAATGTAAGTACTTTTAAGGAGATAATTGACAGAAATAAGCAATTTTCTAATTGATCCTAGAAATTATTTAAGCTAGATGATTGAAACAAGGATAAGAATATTTTCTAAGTTCCTAAGTTCTTTCCTAGACAACAATAGCTTCTCTTGAAATAAACATTTGAGCCCCATTTTAATATTTCATCATCTAAGGGATGAACAGCCCATAGCCCTACCCCACTTTGATCATTTCACAGGAACATTTATCAGTCACATAACATCAAAATTCCACAAGACCTCCAATGATTTCTGCAAAACTTACCTGACTTTAGTATTCATTAAATTAAGTACAGGGATTCTGAAATGCTAAGATATTTTCAAAACATGAAAACTTAGCTTAATATCTTTATGACAATTGAGAAGGTAAGCTCCTTGTACAGAAAGGCAGGAAAAAATAGTAGCCTTTTATAGGAATTCTTTTGCTCTTAGTAACTGTGAATTTGACCTATTTTAATACTTACCATTCATTAGCACTGAATGGCAGATTACACATACTCTAGCTTCCTTTCTATCCATATATAAGAGTTTACATTTCAGGCTACAGCAGGAAGCACAGAAAACCTGAAGGAAAAAGAACAGTACAAATGACCAACCAATACTGACAGGGAAACTTATTACTGCAATACTAAAAATGTCAAAGGAAAAAGTAATTGAGGAAGTTGGACATAGGACTCAATTCAAAAGCAAGAATGAGATAACGTGTCTGTCAACAGTAAGTACTGACTGAAAAGAAAACTCCCTCAGTCAAGAACACAAAGCCAGTAAGGGGGAGAGGGGAACTGCACGTCCCTCAGGTAAAATTCCTACGCGCATTATCGGTACCATATGAACAAAAACGCCTTTACAGCTGCCATTTCTGTGGCACAATGAAATAAACAGAGGTTGGGAATTCTGGGTTTCAATTTCTGTATTTTACTATCTGTAATAATGATAGCAGCTGGCTTGCTACAAAGGTCAGTGAAGATCAAAACATACATCTCAACTGAATCATAAAAATAAGTGGTCATAGTTGCAGGAAATCAGAGCAAGGAACCAAAAGTGGTCTTGCCAGTTTCCAGCGATTTATTTCCACCTTCTACAGTTGATTCCTGATCACTTTCATTTTCTTCCTTCCACACTAAGCAATTAGAATCTCCCTAGCGCTGTGTTAATACTGCTATGACAATGTCGTAAATAAAGTAGGTAATAAATATTTGCTGACTGCTTCCTAAATTAGCAAAAAAATTATTGTACAAATGTATGACTGAACAGACATCAATGTACATTTACCCTGGAAGGATTGTGCCATAACATGCCCAAATTCACAACTTTAACAACAAACACTGAGTTAAAAGAGGGACTAAGTTTATTGTTCTTTTTTTAAAGATTTACTTATTTATTCATACAGAACTGGGGTACAGGCCAGAGATGTGGAGGGTGAGAGGATTCATCAGGGACAAAGTGGGGACAGAACAGGCAGATCGACCAAGTATACTGCCAAGGGGCGTATACTTGGGCGGGTCAGGAGATGTCTGCCAGACCATGTGGTCACCTCAGGGGCAGGCGGGGATCGAACTCAGGGCAGAAGTGGCTTAAGCTTCTTAGTGCAGTGTTTTAACCTGCTGTGCCACCAGGGAGGGCCGGGACTTTCAATGGTTATAAATTCCCTTAAATGATAGGACTGATACAACCTGCCTAATTATAAAGACAAATAATGATGGTTTAAAATACACATGCTATATAATGTTTTAGCTAACCACTGGTTTAAAGTTCAAGATCTGTTTAGACAATTTTCTTTAATGTGGTGCTTTGGGGGTCCAATCTCAACTTTAACATTCACTTGACAAGTAACTTTATTTAAAAAAAATTTTTTTTTCTTTAGCTATGCATACAAGAACTGGGGTACAGGCCAGAGGTACAGAGGTAGGGGATAGTTAGAGAATTCACCAGAGACAGAATGGGGAACAGCACAAAGCCAAGAGAGGTCTACTGAACCCTGTGGTTCACTTCCCTGGCCTGGGATTGAACTCCTGCTGCAGTGGCTAGGGACAGTTTCACAGTGCTGTGCTTTAACCCGCTGCATCACCAGGGAGGACCCCACTTGCCATATAACTTTATGAAGGTAATTTAAACTGAGTCAAATGTAAAATTTTTGTGCTTATTAAAGGATGTATCATTGGAACAAATGGCTACTCAAGGAATAGAAGAAAATTATTTCCAAGACAGATATTTGATATGGTACTGCTATCAAGAATATATAAAGAATTCTAAATTCAACAACCCAGTTAACAGTTTGGAATGAAATGATAGCTAATTTTCCATAGAATATAATTAAGTTATCATTTAGTGATAATCTATTAAGTATAGTGTTAATAACTCACATGTATTATTACTGATACTTTTAATTCACGTATTCAGCACTCTTATATAAATACAGTAAGTATCATCTCCTCTGCTTTATAGATGATGAAAATAACTTGCCAAGACCACAGAAAAGCTAGGAAGTGACTAAAGTTACTCTAAACCTGGATGTGTTAAGCATTCATATTTATATGAAGTGTAGTTCTGGATAATCAATTGGTGTTGTCAATTAATAAGCCCTTGAGTGGTCTCTTTTGCTCTTTATGTTTTTTTTATATTCCAAAAACTTATGAATTTTATTACTAGATATTTTAATCTTTAGACAATCATTACTCATTTTGCCTAATCTCTCCTCTCTTCTTTACAAAGTTCTTAATACCACCTTTCAATCAATCTGCAGAGAAATTACTGTGCTTCCAAGGAGTACAACCTGTTGTCATGCTTTAACACAAGGGGACAAGATAAACTTTGAGAAAATTGATATATGAATTTAGAACTGGTAAGATTACCTTAATGTGCCGCTAGTTCAGGATCTTGTGAGGTTATTTTCTACCAAAATTCTCAAATTTTAAATACAACTGACTAGAATTCAAATTACTCAAAAATAAATTTTAGGGCTCTCCCTGGTAGCACAATGGGCTAAAGCTCTCCAAAGCCACTGCAGCACAAGTTCAAACCCCTTCCACCCCCCCAGGGAGCTGACCCACATGGCATGGCAGACCTCTCCTGACTCGCCCTCTGCTCCCCTCAGCAGTGTAAATCTGCCTGTTCTGCTCTCTACTGTGTCCAATGAATCCTCTCACCCACCACAACTCTGGCCTGTACCCCAGTTCTGTAAGCACAAATAAATAAATCTTTATAAACAAATTTTAACTTTAAAGAAAAATTGCCATTCTTTTTGAAATACTTCTAAAATTTGCTCTCAGAGATGCTAAGAAAATAATCATTTATCAATGATTTATAAAAGTCATTATAAAGAAATGATCACAAGTGCTAACATATATTTATCTTGATCACTGTATTGTATATACAATATATATACTTGAAATTAATGTTGAATGTCAATTCTATTTCAATATAACAAAACAAACAAAAGACCTGCATGGAACCTTAAGCACATATTGCAAAACGATACAATCCAGTTTGCAGATGACAAACTATATTATCCTAACTACAAGACACTCTGAAAAACACAAAGCTATTATACAAGGACAGTAAAAATATCAGTGGTTATTAGAAAGAGGGAGGTGTTACAGCGAGTTGCACAGATGAGACACAGTTAAGAGCAACTATTCTATAGTGCTTCAATAGGATATATAAAATATATTTACTTATCAAAGCCCCCAGAACTGTACAATACAGATGGAACTCTGTGTAAGCTGCAAAGTATATTTCTTTTATAGAACTTTAGTTAATAACATATACCAGTACGGGTTCATCAATTTTAACAAAGGTACCACATTAGTGCAGATGGTAATGATGGGTTAGGCTGCAGGGAGGAGGAGGATGTACACGGAAACTGCACACTCTGCTCCATGTTTCTGCTCTAAAAAAGGCTACTAATTGGAGGTGAATCTATTCCTCTTAATCATACACAGTGATTTAAAACAATGTTATTCTAGTTTAAATAAATCTTTTTAAAAATGAGCTATTCATTTTAAGTGGAAATATCTAGGGATGTAGACTAGGGACTAGGGATATAGTAGAGGGAGGCAGGAGCACAACATCTTTCAAGATACAAATACTACTTGTTTTTAAAAAATAATACCAGTCCTCTTCAACCCATCTCAGAATGTGCACTTGACTTTCAATTTGAAATTTGGAATTATCTTTAATGTTATTTTCATTTTTTAAAGTGTTTTCTACTTAAACTAAAAATATGGTATGACATAATATCAAACTATTACTATATAGTTCTGTGATATATATTTTTAAAAATACAATACTCTTGACTTTACTGCAAAATACTAATTGAAATTAAAAGCATAGTTTGAAACTACCTGTAGTATGCTATTTTATAAGTATGCATAGTTTATAAGCATATAAATAACAGGAAAGTATAATTATAAGACATAAAATCATATAATTTATAAATGCTCAGTATATGTCAAATAGCTGTAAGGGGAATCTTTCTGTATTAAAAATTAATCTAGATCATTTTTCAATGTGCTACTTTGACATAATGGATGTTATCATAGTTTTTTTATGAGATTTCATTTTTTTATAATAGTTTATTTTTACATCATTTTGTACATTTTTTTTTTTCATCTCAATTGTAATCCCTGTGGGTTTCCCATCACCGAGTCACTCGTGTGCCATCATCATAGTCCCGTGCACTTCTCCTCTACCCCCTGTGTTTTATCCCATTCCCCACTCCACCCCCACAAAATGTCTCTGGTATATGGCTGTTCATTATTCTTATTATTTTCTCGCCTGGTCCATTATACTCCTACTATCAGTGAAACTATCTGGTATTTTTCTTTCTCTTTCTGGCTTATCTCACTAAGCATGATCTTTTCCAGCTCCATCCAACTTGCTGCAAAAGACATATGTTTCTTTTTTTGGTTGCTAAGTAATATTCCATTGTATGTATGTACCACATCTTTTGAATCCAGTCATCTACTTTTGGGCATTTGGGCTGCTTCCATGTTTTTCCAATTGTAAATAAAGAAGCAGTAAACATGGGGGTGCAGGTATCTTTTTGAATCAGTGTTTTTGTGTCTTTTGGGTAGATACCTAGGAGTGGGATTGCTGGGTTGTAGGGAAGCTCTATGTTAAGCAGTATGAGGAGCCTCCAGTTTTCTATAGTGGTTGTACTAGTCTGCATTCCCACCAGCAGTGCAGGAGAGTTCCTTTTTCTCCACATCCTCACCAACATTTGTTGTTGCTAGTTGTTTGAAGAAGTGCCATTCTCACTGGGGTAAAGTGGTATCTCATTGTGGTTTTAATTTGCATCTCCCTTATTATGAGTGATGTTGAACATTTTTTCATATGCTTGTTGGCCATCTGTATTTCCTCTTTGGAGACATGTCTTTTTAGCTCTTCTGCCCATTTTTTGATGGGGTTGTTTATTTTTGTTGAGTTTTGTCAGTTCTCCGTATATTTTTGTGATCAGTCCTTTATTACTGCTTTTGTGTGAGAAATTTTTTTCCCAATTAGTGGGTTGTCTCTTTGTTTTTTGTAATGTCTCTTTTGCTGTACAGAAGCTCTTTAACTTGATG